TGATTGGGTAATAATCACGTGTAGATTTACAAATCGATCTAAAAACTAGCCAATCAGACAAATTTCTGTCTATGACCGCTATCTGTTATCCGAATATCCAATCCGAACTTTATTCGGATATAATTATTCGGATAAACGCTATCCGGATTGGACCTCTACATGTGATTACTGGATTGCACTCGCACGTTTAAAATAATAAAGATAATATATTAAAAAGAAAAAGTCCTACGATCTCAAAACTTTTACTAAGTAATGTTGTTCAGCAGGGTCATTTTGGTATATACGTAGTTAAATAATTAAAATTGGTATTGAAATCTTAATTCTGATTGGCTAATATTAGTATTAATGCTGAAATTCACGTGAATCGTACCTTACCGTGACACAAGAGTCAGCGTCCGAATTTATCATGAGACTTGGTTAGGTTAAATATTAATTTTATTTTATATCTAGTGTTGGTTTTTTTTTTGATTAGTACGTACCATATAAAAAGACAGGCTATAGTATATCATAGTGATATAATTTTTTTTTTAAAGAGCGAACTAGTTGTTTATTATAAATTTTTCAGAGTTGGTAATTAATTAGGGGTCGAAAAAAGGTTTTGGGGGGTGTAAACCATTTTTACTTAGAACAATACCTCACCAATTACTGTAATTAGCGGTGTAAAACGCCATAGGGTGTTTTAGTAAAGTACTAGTAAAATTCAGAATACAGTACATGCTGTATTTAAATACTTATTACTATATAAAAATCTAAATACAAACTGGCTTAACAAAATGTTATATAGCTATTTATTATATACATATAAGAATACTATTTTATTTTACTATTTTCAAAAAATTTCTTAATAGTAAACAGTAAAAAATTATACTATAAATAGTGTTTTAAGTAGAAATTAGTTTTACCAATTTCACCAATTTAACACCAATAGTGGTGAAATTATTTCACCGCCCTAATTTTATTTCACTAATTTCAACACTAGACAGTATAATGAATCATTTGGTTGACAAATAAGAATGAACTAATTGATTCTATTGTTTAATATATATATACTTATTATTCGCCCAGGTGATTCCTTCTATCTGGCGTAGAGAAGTGACGAATAAGTATTGAATAATGGAATCAATTAGTTCATTCTTATTTGCCACACCTCTATGCTAACATCCCACCCCTCGTGATTTTTATCCAATTAGGATGTTAAGGTTAGAGGTTAGGGTTAGTGTTAGGTCACGTTAAGGAGATTAATGTAAAAAATCATTCGCTACGTATGTGTTTATAAATATTAAAGTGACCTGCCAATTACAAAACTTTTATCAAAAGCTCACTCGGAAGTATTCATAACAAATAACTTGTAAAATTTGGATTGAAATTTTATAAAAGCTGTTGTAGTATCAATTAATTTAATTTTTATATGGCCTTAATAAAATAAAAATAAAATAATTTTAAATAAATAAATATAAATAAATATATATATGTAAATAGATTAGCCAAATTACATAATAGGGTTTTTAAAATCGAAATTATTTTTACTATATATTTTGTATAAACCTTAAGATTGTACGTATATACGTACCAATACTACGTATAAAAATACCGTAAATCGCCGGATACAAGATCCCCCATGATAGTAGACCCACCATGTAGTATACCCGGATGCGTATTATGAGATCTATATTAATCAAACATGGGTTTTTCAAATATCTTGATTGTCTATTATAAATGCGAAACATGCATACTCTTCAAAGTTTTTCTCTTAGTGACATGAACTCTCGGCTGCATACTAGACCCGGGGTCTATTATAGGATTTAAAATTGGTGAAATGTAAGAGACCCGGGTCTTGTATCCGGCGATTTACGGTACACGTATATGTATATATATATATAAATATATACGTATAAAATGCAATTTAATAATGAAATAAAGCAAATAAAGCAATACTAGAGCAAAACAGTTTCTCACAAGAAATACCAACACTATATGCTGTAGATACTTCACCCCCACAACTTTTTTTTATGTATACAGTATTATAGTATATAGTACTTTTTTCTACTATCAGCTATACAGTACCTACTACGTATCTGTCGTATCCCAGTCTGGAATCGTCCCGATTCAGAATCGGGTTGCTCCGGTTAGCATAAATATGATTTGAGCCGGAACTAGATAATTAAATAAGTAAATGATTCATTTTAAAAATATAATAAAAGTTTACGTTACGTGGACGGCAGGGGATAAATCAGTTATATCCCACGGCCCCTAATGTTCTCCCGTGAACGATATTTTTATGATTACGTAATGCCGTGAAAATATCAAAAATTTTTCCACGGCCATGACGTAATCAGTAAAAATTTTAATCAGAAATATTACGGGCATAGGAACCGTGGGATATAAAAGATATTTCACGGTGTGTCATGAACACAATGTATTACCACGGTTCCGCCGTGCTAATCCATCATATTCACAACAGCCCGTGAAATATCTATTACATATCTTGCTAAGTATAATTGATGTGTTAATGCTTATAATTATTACTAAAATGCACCTATGATGTTTCACACCCTAACGGTTGAGATAATTTATACGTAGGTGTTCAATAAACTAATTAATCAAAACATAGTTAGGGTCATTAAGTTAAAAGGTTATTTCACGTATAAATTTATATATGAATTTGTACTACACAACTAACCATATATTTTTTTAAACTGTAGCTCTAGACTAGCTCTACACTGTAATAGAACCGGTTTTTTAATAACCTATGTTAATTATTAATAAAAATTAATCCAAAATTTTATTAAAAGTTATTAAAAAACCGGTTCTATTACAGTGTAGAGCTAGTCTATAACAGTTTTAAATAAAAACATATACAACTTTGTTGATTATGTAGAAAAAATGTACCTAAATTAGTACAAATTCATATGTGAAATAACCCGAAATTAATGATTATCATATATGACCCTTGATCAATTAGTTTATTGAACACCCTACCGTTACGTGGTAAAAATCAGTGTTGTCACTGGTAAAAATGCTCCACACCCCAGAAACTCCTCCCAAAATCTTAATCTAATACCAACCCTAACGTGAAAAAATTTAGGAAAATCCAAAAAAACGTAACGATTAGATCTAAGTACGTATAAATGCACGCTATATAAATTCTCTCAAATGCACGGAATAACACACCCTCTTTAATTGCACCTTTTTTTTTTACATAAGAGCTTTATTTGTAATGGTGTAAATCACATAGATGCGTTTTACTTTACATGATATATTAAAACGTAAATCAAACTATATAGATTGATACGTATTTTATATACATTCAGTAGAGCAAGGACTCATTACAATCAATAGATTAAACAGATTAGAAAAAAAGATTTTTTTTCTAAACTTAAAAAACTATAGAAAAATTTTATATATGTCGATATACTAAAGCCTTTAATTTAAATGCTAAAAGCTTTTGATAAACTAGTTACACAACATCAATTCCGCAAAATCACATGATTGATAGGGGTTTCTTTTTTTTTTTTTGTTTACAGGCTAGCCCGCAATCCTGATATGAAGCTATATAAACATTAATTAATCACTTCTAAACTTTTAACTCACGCTTGTTAACGTTTACAGCTTGGTTATCCACTTTTAAGGTAAAACACTTATTTTTCGCGCGTTGGAGGTGTTATAAAATCAATGGCAAACGAACTGCCAACATCTAAACTTGAAAATCAAAGGTTAAGTACAGCAGAACCAACTATGGCTCCCACGCCCGTTCTCACCGACTCCCAGTATAAAATTGGTGTTGACCCAAAGGCACCCAATATTATAGAAGAAAGTTCGAATATATATAACTGTAAGCATATAACGTGAACACGCTTGTAATTTGGTAATACACGAACCTTTTCAACAGAAAAGGAAAAGAATAAAAAAATTGATTTTGATGAAACATTGATTTTTTTGTTGAAAATTTTAAAACAAGGCCAGGAAGGAACCGAAGGACCTGATAATGTTAATGATAAAGATACCAATTTACCCGAAAAACGATCTCGTGGGCGCCCTAAAAAAGAGGTTAGCAATAATGTGATGGAGAAATCGGCAAAAACTCGGGGAAGACCAAAAAAAGACAAGTTGGCTACTATTACCACTGGTAATGATACTAATTCTTCAGGGAAACGTCGTGGTCGTCCAAAAAGGGAAGAGATTAAAGTCACTCCTGGCAATACAGCAAATTCAGTCGTAAAACGCGGCCGTGGTCGCCCGAAACAAAGCGAATCTAATAGAGTTGCTGGTGTTTTACAAAAAAAAACTCGTGGGCGTCCAAAAAAAGCGCTTAGTAAACCAATCACTACCGAAAAGCGAAGACCTGGTAGACCAAAAGCTACTAAACTTGACGTTTTTGATGGTCCAACGAAAACTGATGAAGATAAAATCACAACTTCTGAAAAACGTGGACGAGGTCGCCCACGAAAAAATCCGCTTTTATCACAAGTTGGCAAATCAAAAATTGCACCAAAACGCGTTACATCGGATAAAATTTCCAATGGTACACCAAAGCCACGCGGTCGTCCCCGAAAGGTCGTGACTGACAAAGAAGTTGATGTCAGCCACCCTGAATCTGAAACAAAATTATCTAGTATCAATGTCGCCATCCCCGTTGAAGTCTCTACTGCTAATGAAATCCAAGTTGAAAGTAACTTGGAACAAAGTACAAATTCAATTCAAGCTCCTAACGCTATTCAAAATGATCCTGTCGAACCATCAAATGCCATTGCATTAAATGGACAGAATGGACAGGAAACTGTTAATGGAGAGCCTCCAAAAAAACGTGGACGTCCAAAAAGGGACGATCAAACAGAACAAGGATTAACTAAGAAGGTCAAAGCGTAATTAGGGTTGCCTTTTTTTGAATTGACATTGGTACATAGTTTGGGTTTGGGAATCTGGATTTCTACTTCATTTGGGATAATGACGAAACCCAAATATATGTTGATCACTAATGTCAACCTCAAAACAAAAACCAATAAAATTTGTTAAACCAATGCTATAAATGATTAAACCTTTGTTATTTTCAAATTAAGAAAACTGTTATGTTTGCGCTTTTACTCCGTATCTTGGGATCCATTGATCCAATTTTGATGATCAAACCACCATTAAGGCCCAGCGTTGGACGATGACCTAAAGTCAAGTCATTACTTTTTTTTTTTTTGGTCATTAAATTTTTTTTACTATATTGAATAATTATAAAAATTACATCAATCTCGTTATGACGATCTATGACAGGTCATTCAACTGATTAGAACGAGAGAAATTGCTTAATCTAATTTTTCATAAGATCATATAATTTTGAGAGGGTTAGATTTTTGACTTAAAAAAAAAAAGAATTGATTTTAAAACTGATTAAAAATAAAAAATAAATTTATTTTTTATTAAATCAAGTACATAGTCGTTTCTGAAAGTAGACTAGTAACATTTATATATATGTGTTTATATACTTTTGTTCAAGAATTGTAATATATATAAACGTATAAGAGGTGGATAGGTGTAGGCCGTGAATAGTGAGTGGCTTGTAATCAATAGTATTGCTAGTTGACGTTCTAAGGTGTACTAAATAACCAGGATTACCAACTTATACAGTATATTAATAATATTTATCAAATAAAAATTTTACTATAAGTATATAACTTTGAAAAAAAAAAAAAAAAGGATTATTTATATAACAGGGAGAATTTTATATTTCTCATAATTAAATCCATTGTTGTTGGTGGGCAAAATTTCTAGCTTCTTCATTCCCTAAATTTGCAGCCTTCAACATTAATTTTTTCGATTCTTCCAAATCTATTTTCAAACCTCCAAGACCCTTGAAATAACAAACACCTAAATGGTACATCCCATGAGGTACTCCTTTTTCTACAGCTTGTGTAAAGAATTTTACAGCTTTTACTCTATCTTTCTGATGCCCTTTGCCAGTTAAATATAAATAACCCATCATATCCGTTGCATCACCATCACCACCTTCGATAGCCTGTTCAAAATACTGAACAGCTAGCGGAATATCTTCGGTAACGCCTTTAGCAAAATAATAATATTCACCCAACCGGAATGAAGCGTGTGGGAAGTCATCTTTAACTTTTTCATATTCAGACCTTGCTTTTACATAATCCCGAAGTTGATGATGTCTTTCAGCGATTTCTAATATTTCTTTTGGAGATGAACCGTGATTATTATCTTCCTCATCAGAGATATCTGAAATAGAGAGATAACGAACAGATGCAGGCTTAAGATAATTATTTTTTTCTTCTGTAATTATGTCATTAACTATTTCTTTATTTCCTCCATTAAACTGTATGGCGCTTTCCAAATCTTCAGGTCGGATTGCTTCAAGATATTCAATAATCTTATCAGATTTGAACCGTTTACTCGGTTCTGTGTGAGTACAATTAGTATAAATAGATGATATAGCAGGTGGTATATAAGAAGGTAGAGTAAGTTCCTTTTCTTCGTTTCTAGCTTTATAAACATCGCTTAAATTTAAGCCTTCCCATGGGAATTTTTCACAAATAATTTCATAAAACACGATGCCGAACGAAAAAATATCACATTCTTCGGTAAAAGTTGATACATTATCACCAAGACGTTCTGGCGCAGTCCACCGAATTTGTTCCTCAAATGAATCAACCACCCCAAGACTTCCTGTATTGGTCCAACGGGATCTGCGAAAATTTGTGATTTTTGCTTGAAAATGACTATTCAATAGAACATTCGCACTATTGAGATATTTATGCAAAATTCCTGCTTTATGAAGAAACGCTAATCCTATACGAAAAAACACAATTTTAATAAAAAAATAAAATAAAATAAAATAAATAAAATAAAAAATAATGAAAAGATTTAAATTTCATTATTTACCTTGAGCCAACCCCAAAGCGATGCTACGTTTCTTTCCCCAATCACCTTTCAATTTACCCAATGCAATAAAATCTTGTAAATCACCATTTTCACAATATTCCAAAACTAATGACAGATTTCCACGAATATTAGTAACACCAATAAGATTAATAATATTTGGGCATGAGACTAATTTTCTTAAATATGCAATTTCTAGTGCAAATTTTGATACATCATCCGCCACTGTTTCTTGAGCCATTGTTACTTTTATGACAGCTTTTATAACTTTATTCTCTCTGTCGCTATCTACAGTGTGATAATTAGCCGTAAAAAGTCTGTCCGTTTTAAATTGCTGTATTTCAGATAACTCCTTTAGATAAATTCTTGTACCTAAATCTAAAGGTGGAGTTGATAAAAGTTTATAACTACGAATTTCTTTTAAAGATTCTTTAACCATAGTATTTAATTCTGCGAACGCAATTTTATCTTCCTCATGCCATGCTTTTTGAATTTCTTCAGCATATTGACTATCAACAAAATGACGAATATTAATAGCGAAATTGAGTCGATTACACGCTTGATCTAATCGATCTTCAATATCTTGAAATTCAGCAGCAAATTTTTTCGCAAAAAAGATTTTTAATCCATATTTTGCTTCAGCATGTTGCTTTACAACAGCTCGACCATCTTCTAAAACGATAGCAAATGCTTTTAATGCAGATATAAAATTTTTATTTTCTACCTCTCTAGGCGTTTCTTCTAATTGATCTAATAATTCCTTTGCTGAATCACGTGCTATTTTAAATTGTTCACTAAGACGTTTACATTCAGCTTTACAATGCTTAGCTGCTAGAGCGTATGAAACGATATCATCGACAAGTGCTCCAAAATTGCCTGTTAATACTGCGATAACTGTATGATTAAGAATTTTACCAATTTCTACAGCTCCTTCAATATATTGGGTTAAACTAAATCCTTCACTGTGTTTTATAACAGTCCAATCCATCATTTCCTCGGATAACTCGTTACCAACTTCATCTATAACTTCATCTACAGTATTTATAAATTCCATTTTGTTGATCAATTCTGATAATTTTAAAAGGCAAATTTTTACGGTTTTTTTTTATCTATTTTTTTTGAAAATCTTTACAACTTTACGTCATATTGATCTAATAACATGCTGTATAGATGGGATTAACATTAATAAAATGAAAAAAAATACACTCATAGTTACTTTCAGTAGACTTTTTTTCGTTTTATTTTAAACTTCAATTCCAATTCAAATTAAAATCTCAATCACATTCCTTTACTGGTTGGATTTTAAGGGATTATGATATCATGAACACCTTTCGGGGTGAGACATTAGCATTTATCTATATTAAATAACGAAGAATTGGTATGGCGTATCGGTAGATTTCTATATAGTGTACATGACTATATGAATATCGATATGTATGACCCCTATTCGTTTTTTTTTTAACGCCAAATTAGCGAAAATAGAATAAAAAATAGGGATGAAGAGTATTAATAATTTTTCCGGAAACTTCCTTTGACCATATGGTCGTAAGGATTGTTGCGCCATCGTGACTCCAGGAAACAATTAAGATTTTTTACAGTGTCTCAAAGTTTTTTTGATTTGTTATTATAAAATAAAATCACATACTCTCCAGAATTTTTATGCATTCGGTACATCTCTTTGATAGGATCTAAAAAAAAAATCGCCTAACTATCATAATAAAAATATATTTCTCTAATAATTCCAAACTTAACCTGCTTAATCCGCAAACACTTTCCCAGGGTTAGTGTCTTACGGTAATTATCAATCCTATTAGTCATGGTGCAAAACAGCCTTGTGAATCTATATTCACATGAATTTGTTCACATTTTGTAGTAAACGAAAATAGATTATCAATGAAAAATGCCATTCCAAAAATAGAATAAAAATTTGAGTAAATATTTTACGACAGAGTGAAACATGAATTGCGAGCTAGTAAATCCGTTACGATCATATAAAGGTGAAATCCGCTTTCATACATAAGGCCATACAAAATTATAACTCGGTCGGGTCTAAAAATCAAGATTCTAAATTTTTAAAAATTAATAAAATTAGCCAATAAAAATGCAGATAAATATAAAGCAATTACCCAGGCCAAATCATTTCCGAATATCAGATTAATTATATAACGAATAGCCCGATTTAGAGTTAGTGTTGGCCTGATTTAAATTAGCATTAATTGTCAGAAAAATCATATAAGCCTATAAATAGACATTCATAAGATTGGCTAATATTAATTAGTACTTATCTGCCTTTAAAAGCATTTAACTAAAGTGCGGAAGAATTTTACATCGGCGCAAGCAAAATTTTGGTGACATGCTATTAATTCATATATCATATAATTTAGCTGGTATAAAAATTATTATGCATTGTATTTAAAAGTCGATATAATTAACAGATCATGGAAAATGTGAATTTTATTTAATGCTTTAGATATTGATAAATTAATAATGGTTTTCTCTATATAGTCTAAATGTTTGGCCCATTTTTTGTATAAAAACTTCCTCCATAAATGCATCTGCGTTACTATTAGCCAATCAAATTTATCGTCATTATGATCTTATCAGTGTTCTCTAATTGTAACTAGGCCTCCGCATGGGCCTGGGTTACCCATGGATACCCGCGAATAGTACCATAAGGGCCGGGTTAGGGTAATGATTTCTGGGCTCTAGGGTAGGGTAAGGGCTTAAAAATAAAGCCCTTACACAAACGGGGTAGGGCTAGGGTAGTATCATGGGCACCTGTTAGTTGTTCATCCCAGGTGATGGGTTTTATTTCTTACTACTGTAATAAAATTACTATAAATTATACCTGCAAATCTTTTAGCAATTTATGGATTTTATTATAAGCAGAGTGAATACTTGTATATATTTTTTTCAAACATCTCAACTCGTCGTGCGGTTGCTTTTCGATCCAATAAATATCCCAATCGTTTATTCCTCAGGTATTAAAATCCCGAGTCTAGTAATCTGAATAGCAAAAGTTTGTATTAATTTTTTTTAAGTAAAAATAGGAAATAGAAAAAGAGAATTGTTATTGCCACCCCTCACATTTGCTAATGCCACCCCCTGCAGATTTAGCTTTTTTTTAAACTTTGAGCAAAAATATCTTGGTAACTACTAGGCCAAATTTGACAAACATTTTTTTTTTTGAATTCTATAGGTTTGTAGAATTCAAACAAAAAAAAGTTCATCGAATTTGGCCCAGTAGTTGCTAAGATATCATTGCTCAAAGTTTGAAAAAAATCAAAACGTCTATCAAAACAAACTATACAAAATTTTCTTTAACTTTGAGCGAAGCTATCTTTGCAACTACTGGGCCAAATTCGATGAATTTTTTTTTATTTGAATTCTACAAATCTGTAGAATGCAAATAAAAAAAAATTCATCGAAATTGACTTGGTGTTGTTGTGATATCTTCGCTCAAAGTTTTAAAAAAACCTAAAACGTATATCAAAACAAGCTGCGCCAAACTTTTCTCAAACTTTGAGCGAGGATATCTCGACAACCACCAAGCCAATTTCGATGAATTTTTTTTATTTGAATTCTAAAAATCTGCAGAATACAAATAAAAAAAAATTCATCAAAATTGACTTGGTAGTTGTCGAGATAGCTTCACTCAAAGTTTAAAAAAAAACTCAAAACGTATATCAAAACAAAAGCTGCGCCAAAGTTTTTCTCAAACTTTGAGCGAAGCTATCTTTGCAACTACTGGGCCGAATTTGATGAATTTTTTTTTATTTGAATTCTATGAATCTGTAGAATGCAAATAGAAAAAAATCATCAAATTTGGCTTGGTGAGTGTCGAGATATATTCGCTCAAAGTTTGAGAAAATTTTGTTTCTAGCTTTTGTTTTGATATACATTTTGAGTTTTTTTTTAAACTTTGAGCGAAGCTATCTCGACAACTATCAAGTCAATTTCGATAAATTTTTTTTTATTTGTATGTTGCAGATTTTTAGAATTCAAATAAAAAAAAATTTATCGAAATTGGCTTGGTGGTTGTCAAGATATCCTTGCTCAAAGTTTGAGAAAATTTTGGCGCAGCTTTTGTTTTGATATATGTTTTGGTTTTTTTTAAAACTTTGAGCAAAAATATCACAACAACCACCAAGTCAATTTTGATGAATTTTTTTTATCTGCATTCTATAGATTCGTAGAATTCAAATAAAAAAAATTCATCGAATTTGGCTTAGTAGTTGCAAAGATAGCTTCGCTCAAAGTTAAAGAAAATTTTGTATAGTTTGTTTTGATAGACATTTTGATTTTTTTCAAACTTTGAGCA